GGGAGGATGCCAGAGGCTACAGGGCGGGCCCTTATCTCCAATCAGTACATTGATTGCACGCAGGCAGGTCAAATACCGGCAGCGCCACTCGGCCCTAGCACGATAGCTTATTCAATTTCCGAAACGGCATTCACCATTCAATTCGGCGGTTATCAGCCTGCGCCCATCCCCTATCTCGATTTTGCGTGACTTTCTAGAAAGCTGCGTGAATTCGTCCCCTTCAAAAAAAGCTCGGATTTATCAATGGATATAAATTGAGATAATCAAGATTCCGGTGCGTCGGCATGTGATCGCTCTATTTTTATGAATGTGCCATGCAGGCCTTTAACCCTTACTAGTCTAACGTTTTTTCGGCACCTTTAATGGTCTAACGTGGGTCATTCGTGTCTCGGCGTTTTTTAGACATGTTAAAGTGCTTTAAAAAATCTGCAAAAATTCATGGACCTTCATTAATTCTTCAATTTCAAGAAAAAACAATTTGTATGTCGAAAATAATTATTTTTGTATATAGTTTTGTATTAAAAATGGAGGTACCGCGTGTAAAATCACTCGATCACTTAAAAAATCATAACTTACAAATTCAACATTAAAAAGAGGGAATAAAAGATAAGAAGTCAAAAATAAGACTAAAAATACGTATAAAATGATTGTTTAATACTACAAATGATCATAAAATACATGGAATACAGCTAGAAGGGCACTGGCGCGTCGGCACTCGGTAGATGGCTTCTCGGCAATCCAAAGTTTTACGAACCACTCGCAGCGCCGCCCGCGCCCGTTTTCAAAAGTTGCACAGCACTTTCAAATTTCGCCCGGGACTTGAACGACCCACGTTAGACCATTAAGGGTTAAATTTCAATCGCGAGAAAGGGTAAGATAGTTTTCGAAAAATTAAAATAATTACTCGTAAGTTTTAGTTTTAAGCAATATTCTGAGAATCAATAGTTTCTTGCTGAGGTACAAGTTCACCAATACTATCTCACTAATACTATACCGTTCGCGCGACTGAAGATGACCATTTATACTGAGAAAACGAGTTAGAAATGGATAAACTAGAAGATTCTGATTATATCAATTAGAATTCCTCAACTAGAATTCTCGTAATAGATAGAATCAGTAAATTTTGATTCGTTCATTTCCAACCAGAATTCCAATTAATCTGATAAAACATTTCCTCAGTGTAACCTATAAGTGTAGCTATATGTTTAAACCTTTACACATCTTAAAAGATTATTGTTTAAAATAAAAATTTAAAAATAGCATGTTTGACTTAATTTTCCAAGGACTTTTTTCTTGCTACAATATCTCGAGTCGCAAAACATTTGTAAATGTGTGAAAAACACCCTGTGTATCCTGTTGTGCATTAACTATCCTTATGATAACGTAACATTATCGAAGGAAAATATTCTCCACTACGAGCGAGAGATATCTCCGACGCTAATTTGATAAGACGAAGTTCTACCGCGAGTACAAGCATTATCATTCGGCGCATTTGCCGTGCGCGTGGCTATCATTCAGTATCTACCGGGCGGTAGCGAGGCTGCGCACTTTCCCGCAGTGTACATAGATAATCGAGCTTAATTAATTGCTCGTGACGCGCGCTCGGGGCTCAGCAAACACATTTACTTATTACCATCCATCTTGAGCGGTGCCTCTCAAGGGGATCGATTTTCCAAGTGCACGCGGCTGATGACACAAATTGCCAAAGGGTCGACGCTCGATCGTAACGCGATCGTTAAATAGAGGCGCGGCTTTTTTCTCCATGATCTCTCTAGGACGAGCGTCCCGTTAAAAAAAAAAAAAAAAAAAAAAAAAACAGCTTCCTCTAGTAGCGTTCCAAAAAGAACGAGAGTTAATCGCGAACCCTAAACGACTTTTATGCATGAGGCAGCCTGGAACTATCTGTCTTCGTTCGTCCGTTTTGCATATAATGCGTGCGACACGTGTGATGTTCCTCCACGTGTGTTAACTTTAATCTAAAATTCCTTTGCGAGGATAACGCGCGTCGACGTATTCAACAAGCGTCGCCTCCAATTAGTAGGCAGAAAATATCAGCTTTCAATTTTAATAAAGTTTCTCTCCCGCAACATTCATCTCGCGTTTACACTTCACACTCTCATAAATCGTAAATGTAGAGATATATCGTTCTAACGATAAAATAATACGGACTTTTTCCAACGAGACATTGGAGTATTTCGAAAATGTGACAGTATCTCGCTGCGTTACTCTGCGTGTGGCACGCTGCCAAAGTGCCAATGGACATCACCTTTCTGCTCCAATCGAGCGACTAGAAGCACCAGGCACAACAACGAGATTACGCGGTAGTTAATAGTCGGCTGCCTTAATCGGCACATCTTGTCGTCGAAGCACGGTCCACCCGAGCGGAAGTCTCGCTCGTCCGATCGTTATTGACTGGTACAGATCCCTTGGGTCGTAAGTGACATTTACACGATGCATTCAACGTTAAACTCGTCCGGAGAGACAAGGCGGGAGACGGAGCGTCGTATCTCAGTTCCGGTATCTATACGGACACCGGGTTCCCCTGACAACGAGGCAACAACAAACGCCTAATGGCCAGTTCTCGACTCAAAGTTTAATTTCCTGACCAGCGGACAGTACTTAAAGTGACCTTCTCCCTCCTCTCTCTCTCTCTCTCTCTCTCTCTCTCTCTCTCTCTCTCTCTCTCACTCTCTCTCTCTCTCTCTCTCTTTCTCACCCTTTCTCTTTCTCGCTCTCACCAGCTCGATCTTCCTCTCCCTCTTTCCGTTTCCCCTTTGCTGTCTTGCTTGTCGTCACCGCGCTTTCTCTCCTTCCGTCGTCCCTCGCGCACACTGGTCTCGGGAATCGCGACCGGACGTACAGCCGCCGCTATGAAATATTAAAGAGTTAATGGCGACCCTCTTCACGGAATCGCGAGTAATTACCGCCTGACAGTCGCGTATCGCCGGATTAATCGATGGCGCGGAGTTTGATCCCTCGAGACGTCGTTAATTGCTCGTACATTTCGAGAAAACGTGCAATCTCTCTCGCGTTTTCCGTCCCTTCCAATCTCACATTTTCTATCCCTTATATGAACACAATGTAATGCGATACCGTTAAAAAATTTCCTCCACGAGAGACAACGATACGTGTGCAGACCGCGATAGTATGGTTGCATTATATCGATCTCGGAGAAGAGAGCTCCATGAACCCGGAACACCCATGTTCGCTTGTTTGACGTACATATACATCGTATAATGCCTATGATCGTGGCACTGACCCCGACCGTAACGTTGCTTCTCTTTGTGCCTGATATGCATACGTGCAGAAAAAGTTTCGGGGTTGCCGAGCACGTTCCCGCCTCACACATATCGCGCATCTTTCCCCCCCGTAATTCTTACAGAAGCATATATAATAAAAGAAAAATAAAAGAAACTGCCAGCACAGAAAACAGATGGTCGCAATACCAATTGTCTGCCTTAAAAACCAGATTTTCCAGTCTAGTATCCTATTACCTTTGTCATTTTTTTAGTCATGCGTTCCAATCGAATAACATTGTAACAACATTTACAATGTAATAGTATGTTAAGAGGAATGAAATTTTGTAATTATTGAAACTTGATCAAAATAATTGATACAAATAGCGATGCAATATTACTCTTTAAATAATATTAAGTGAATATAGACCGAGAAATATTCAATACGAATGAGGTCATAATATTCGGTCAAGGCGAGTCTTACTGTCTAATAATATTTTTGTATGAATTTTTATAATTTCCAGTTCAAGCAAATTGCGCGACGAATTTAATTTTTAATTTTGAAATGTAACTCTAATTATTTAAAAGCTTTTAATTAGTTAAAAAATTTTAAATATTGTTTAAAGACAATTAAATTAATTTAGTCAAATGAACAATTCTTTCTTAGTATACCTTTGTACGTACTATTTCTTTCCTGTTGCTATATATAAGGATATACGCATTCGCACATTATACGGAAAACACAAATATTTGAAAGATAAAATCGTGTCACTGGTAAACCGTAAGGTCTGGCAACTTTTTTGCGTCTACGGTAGTCCAATGATCCTCGGAGGAAAATTGGTCAGAGAGAAAGGATCTGCAAGGCCAGCAGTAGGATAATACTACTATTGGAAGCGGCATTCGCGCCAACGGAGACACGGAAGTGGTGAAGAGAAGGGGATGGGGAAAGGGTGTATTGTGCAAAGAGTTCAAGACCGAGAGAAGTCGATAGGAGAGACGAAAGCGTGTACGAGACGGACAGAGACGGAACGAGAAGCGGGGGGGGAGGAGAGGTGGAAACTGGGATCGAAGTACGGTTTTGTGTCCCCCACGTCATGAATCATGCATCCTCATCCCCTAGGAGCGAACTGGAACGCGCTGCGGCGGTGCGACCCGTCCGAGAAATAAACAATGTTATTTGTTCGTTGGGATCCCGACCCATCCGCAGCGGTCCAAAGGACTTCTAGCAGGACCGCGGTGGAAGGACGAGTGGCGGGTTCCGTGCTTTCGTAACCCACAACGATGGGATGAGATACCCGGCTACTCTCCTCCTCCTCCTCCTCCTCCTCGCCCTCTTCGTCCTTTCTCGAGCGCTTCTGTCACTCCTTCTATCTCGTTCCCGTTTCTGCGCTCTACTCGCAAACCCATGCGCACTCTGACAGCCCAGAACTGTCAACGGCAGAGGAAGCTCTCGCAACCGCTGATGGTGTTTGAACGGGGCCGAAGTGACGCGAAGGACGAGCGCATACATGCCGGACAAATAACGATACTTCCGCTTTCTCGGCAAACTGGATATTCCTGTTATCCCTGCATGCCGGTTTCGTCCTTCGTCGCCATGAGCTTTCGTTCTTCTTGCTGCACTTGCCTCATCCACTCAGTAAGGATAAAAGTGGAAATAGAAAGACGAAAGTCCGTGACTTTCTGTAAATATAAGAAATATCGTAGAAATCAGAGATGCCTTATTGCGAGACACGACTAACGTTGTCGTTTTTATTTTTGTTGCAGATGAACCGTCCTATCCAAGTGAAGCCAGCGGACAGTGAAAACCGCGGAGGTGAGAACACGCAATCGATCCGATATGTCTCAATATCGAAAATTATATCGCTAATTTAATCATGATGAGGAATATCGAAATTCTTATCAAATTCTATATTATTAAATTTAATTAAGTACCGAAAATTATAACGTTCTTAAAGTAACGTTTTTCTGCATTTTTTTTTACTATTTACAATATTTTCATTTTTACACCATACAAGTAAAAAGAGACGTCGCAAGAGATTGTAATCACACATATTTTGAATATTCATGAACGACAGCAAGTAATTAAATATTTCATGAACACGCGACGGTCAGTGATGAATCAAGTTAATTTCGTGCTGAAAATATCATACTTGTCGTATTATACATAAATATAGGGAAAGCAATTTTATTTGCGCGTATACTCGGTGTCTTTAATAGCATTAGATTCCATATCAATCGTACAAGAGTACTATGTAATGAACTACAGATAATTCGCTGTAATAGTGAGTCGCGATAACACATTGGTCGTATAAAATTCATACTCGCGCCGACGGCGCGATAGACTACACGATAAAAAATGTACACCGCGGGTACCCACCCATCCAGCAGTCGTGCTGATATTCATCGGCTCGTTCTCTCTATACAGAGTTGTCGCGCGTGGCGGCTCCTCTTCGCGCTCGCGCCGTATCTTCCCCGTGCACACCTTGCGCCGAGAGCCAATTTTATTAATTACGTGGAATTTTTCAGCTAGCGATGGCCGTCATGTTGACATTCGCTTATCGCCATGGACGCCGCGGGTCATAAATTTCGCGTCACGGTAGGATAACGGGGGCACATCCGCGTATGTATATGACGAAGCTCCAGATAATCGAGAGACAAATTGTCGATCGACCATTGCTTTTAATGAGTCGTCGCTCGCGCTCGTGTCCACCTCGTGGTTTCCTCCCAATCGCGTGACCATACGCTCACCATTGCCCTGTCGGATCTTATAAATATATAACTTGGTTGATATTATTTGACAGGGAAAAAAGTACGATCTCTAATCGGCGCGGGTTACGAGCGTTGTAAATAGTATCTCGCGCAAAAATCTGATCGCTTATCCATCCTTCGTTCATCCACTCCCGCGCTCGCGCGTTCGATTCGTCCCATACGTTAATTTCTATAAAGCACCTCGGCAAACACAGCTCGTACCATTGGAGCCACGATTTAATTAAAAATATGGTATTTATCTTTGGAGGCGGGTCGTAATCGATCGATACTGTTTCATCCGTTTGGCGAGCGCCATCGTCGAAGCTCCCAGCGTCGCTTCCGATGCATGTAAATAGCAGGGAAGCTCGTCCGGGAATTCCCGAAGGCTAAGAGCCGTTGGGGCCCCCTTCGTTACCATTCGCAAAGTCCGTGCCACACCGGGGACAGCGTTCCCGACGAGCCGGCAACTACTCCGAAGTCCTTCCTGCCAACGAAGGTGGGCAGGACTCCTCCAACGCGCAAGGAGTGCGCCAAGATAAAGGAGGAGAATTCATATAAGAGAGAAAGAGAAAGAGAGAAGACGAAAGGGGAGAGAGAGAGAGATACATACAGAAATGCGAAGGAAGAGATCGAGGGAGATCGCGCAGGGCGTTAGACCGGGATATGCGGAAGAAGGCACGGGGGTACGGGGGTGGCGAAGGGGAGTAGATGAGGGGGATCGTAATTCATATGCTAATCTGGAGGAGATGCCATTGTAATCTCCGGTCGCCTGCCTCCGTGCGGCCCCACAAAGCCTCGGCTTGACGCGGATGCAGGAGTGATCCTGAGCACGGTGCTGCTCTCGCCGTTGCTTCTCTGCGGCGCACTGTATATCTATGTAGACGCTGTATCTACGTAGTCGCAGAGAGTTCAATCAGGAAGGTTACTGAACTTCGACAGCACCGTCGAGCCGCCTCCATCCTCAGCGGTAACCGCCGATGTCTGTCCTCTATCGCGTACGGTCGTACAAGATGGTTTCCACCACTTCATCTTCGCGTCTCTCACTCTCTTTGTCCACCCTTTAATCGCGTCATCCTCAACAGTCAACTCGGCACGATCTTTACGATCCTTCGTGACCATTGACGTGATCCTCATCAGGTTGCCTCGGGGCGATACAGATGTTAATGACGTCATGTAATTTGTTCGGATAACGCATGGCAAATCTTAAGTCGCGCAATTATAGAGGACCGATATTAGGCGTAATCCGCTTTAAGATGTTAAAATCGATATCAACATCCATTGGAATTAAACTATACATACATACTCGTAGTATTACGTTTCAGTAAAAGACGCGACACGTTCGATCGCGTCTGGCGCAATCTTGCAATTAGCAATATTATAAGATTACTATTCAGTAATAATAGGTATATAGTCACATCACTCTAATACGTCTCGTCAGCAGTAAATCATATCTCAATTTAATCCGTCTATAAATTCTAACTCGATCGCATAAATGGATTCTAAGAATTTCATCTTGATTTGAAAACCAATTGAAATCGAATTGACTCACTTTAAGTTGTTTTAAGTAAGTCGAATATACTATAATCGTTTCTTGTCGATTTCACGAAGTATCACGTGAGAAACATTGTACTTTAGTAAGCAAACTCGTGAAATTCGTAAAACATATATTTCTATTAAAAAGAACGAAGGAAGCGATGCTACACTTCTTCGTATTCATAAAATGATAGTTTAAGATAATCATTTCTCTCTTCTATTGAGGAAGATCTCATTGTTCCAAGGGACTTCTTCACCCTTTCTCACATTAATGACTACCCTTTATGGCTGCGTTTTGCAGTCGTCAACATGCGGTTTAATTACATCATTTTATAAATTTTCTTCCATAACGACTAGCACGCGAGAGGTGACTCCGCAAAGTAAACGTCCTATTTAGCGATACAAAAGATAAATCAGGCTTTAATTGCGAGATGACGCAATGCTAAAACGTTCGGCTGCAGAAATGACTTGTTCCACTATACCAATTCCTCTTATCGCGCGAGATACCGCGAAATGTTTGTGCGATAAATCCATCTGCGAATTGTACGGAGAACCGTACAAACAATCTAAAAGATATTTCACGCTGAATTTGACTTTATCTTAAATCCTTGCTAACGCTTAGAAATTTACCGTGTTGAGATGCGCGAACAATGACCGTTCATAAGCGCACTATCTTCCGTAATATCGGCTGCAATTTCACGACCACAACTCGTATGTACGAGCTATGTACTTATCTTTTCGAGTTCTTATCGCGGTGATATATCATCGAAGATACGTTTACTTCAGAAAGAATTTCAACGAAATCCATTCGAGTGAAGATTCCCGACGAAGCTCTTTTTCGAAACATTTTTCACGCACGTCGATGGTAAGACTCCGCACGCGCGATAATAGCAGCCGAAGCAGCCGGAATTAAGCGACGAGAACAGATTTGAGAAATGCGTATCTCGCGCGGAAGTTGGCCCGCCGACTCAGGGTCGGTCGAAGTTTCTACGACTGGATAAGGGTGGGTGCTGCTGCTGCTGTACCGGAGCTAGTTGAGCAAGTAGATAAGTTTCGATCCCTCAGCGAGCCACCTTGCTCCCACCGCCATCACTCGCCTTACCGCTACCTCTTCAACGTAGATAAACGTATCCCGGAATATCGGGTTGGGGAAAAGAGGGAGGGGGCCCACGGCCGCCTTCTCGCGTCGCTGCCAAGTTCGGCCCGACTGACATGACGTGGACTGGTCTTAAACCCATCCGAGAGAAATCCTCGCGGATTATAAGAGTCCGTTTTCGTACCTTTTCTTACTAAGAAGAACGACGGATGACGGGGTATTCGTCGTAAGACAAGCGCAAACTTACTCGCTGGATTTGTACTGCAACTTCATTTTATAGTATGTCGGAGAGAGTATTCGCGAAGTTAGTTGATGTATGAGCAACGACACTTATGAGCAGTGTCAGAGAAATATGAAAATTACAAAATAACTTTGAGAAATATTTACTGTAATATTCACTTGAATGAACATTTCATAGAATATTCGAATTTTTCGTAGGAGAAATATTTTGATGTTTATCGTTTGACTTTATTTTATTTTAACCGAGGTTTAATTACAGTTAGTTTTCCTTCAATTTCTAAATAATAAATTTATGAAAATATTAAATACATTCAAAGAAAGAAAAATATCAAAATAATTAAATTTTATACAATTTTAGAAATCATTAATTAGAACCGTATTAATACATTCTTAATTTAATCATTCTATTTATTTGGAAAGAAAGAATAACAAGCTAACAAATATATTTTTTAGAATTATTTTAATTCTCTCTTCCCGAGAATATTCATCTAGAGTATTTTTATATTCCAGTGATAAAAAAATGTAAATTGTAAAATATTATTTTATGTCCTTATCGTTCAATATATTTTTTCTTCCGTAATAATCATTCTTGACAAATCTTTAAATATGCAATTACATCGAAAATTCGCAATAAAAAAGCGTTATGTTAATTAAAATTTTGTTTTTTTGACACTGTAATAAGCTTTTCTTTGACGCACTTTTTCTATTCAATATTTCTTTGACTTCTACTTACACGTTTTAAAAAATTATGAGTAAGAATCTATATCCGTAATATTTTCAAATATTAATTATTTAATGCAAGCGATTAATTGACATTAATTTGAACGACAATTCGACAGAACAGGGCCATTTGGCAGGTTGATGGTGTAGGAAAATACGTTATCATGAATAAAGCGCGGTTTAGATATCCGCGTCGTGTCAAACAAAACGTTCGCTTTGTTCTCATCGTCCAGCGAAACGATAATTTCTCGAGAGTTAATTCCTCTTTCGCTTCCGCTTGGGGAGTCGAAGGAAAGAGGACGCGAAGGGCACGTTAACACTTAACTCCGGCGACAAAGGTCCAATTCTTGGTCCCTACGGTATCCTGACGCGACAATGGGAGCGAACTCTCGGCGAAAAGTACCCGGGGCTAAGGACAGACGGGATATTTCCCAACGAGGCGTTGATACGCCGAAGGGAATCGAAACGGGGGCGGTATGAGAATTGCCAGGGGTAAAAAGAGGGGGAGGCAAGAATTTGCGGAAAGCGGAGATGCAACGAGGCTGCAAGTCAGGCGGGAATCTAATTTCCCGAGACAAATCCTTAAATGTGCCCCGGAGCCCGGTTGGAAGGCGCGAGCCAAGGCATCTCACGGAATGAGCTCTCGTCTAGCATCCGCGACAACGACCTTTAACTCGGCTCGCCAATTTTGCGTCTCCATGACCCCCTCGCGAAACGCGTCATTAAGCTCATTCACGCGGGAAATGCGGTAGATCGAAAACAGAGCGTCGCAATCCGAGATGCAGTCGCGATCTAACCGGAAAAACATAAACTCCCCCCTCTCGGTGGTTTTTGTTCGAACGAGATTGCATTGCATAAAAGTATAGCGTCTCTTAATTAATTTATCGACGATGAAGACAGACAAACGAAACTATTTGGAAAAATTTGAAATAAATTTGCATTCATTAATGTTGATATGAACTTCTACGATGAAAGATTTTTCAATTAGTTAAAATTAAACATATTGAGGTGTTTTACGAAAATTATTCCACTTTCATTATCGCAAATAGCATAATATTTTAAATCTTGTTACCGGTGTTATTGATATTTCGTGATAGTTTAATTCCTGCGATTATTAATCTGATTGTATTATATCCACGACTAATATTATATTATGAAAATTAGGTTGCTATAATTATATAATCTAATATTGCAGTGTTAAAATCAAAAATACTCATATTTGATATTTAATAATAATCAAACGGAATGTATATTTTAACGGGACTTAATCGTTGCTACACAACACAAATGAATTTACTGTAGTAACTTGAAAACCGATAAGTAATGATTAATTATAAAATCAATTTGTAAGAGAAATAGTTTTCGCTGAACGTAGCGATAAGCATCGATCGTTTTTTCTTGTTACTGATCATAATTTTTTTTTTATAATGTGATAGGTCGTATCGTATTCATCACGCAGAAGATCCGATCGAAAGAAATGTCCTGTACTGTACGAGTATGCGAAAGAAAACGCATGGGTACGATTCGCAATTGGGCGAGACTAAGATCGAATTGAATCTTGCGAGGATTCATATAGACGACGAATGGTGTACTTTTTTTAGGTCCAATGCCATTTCTTTGTTTCTGTTCTGTATTCCAGAGTGCATGATGGACGACGGGAGCGCCTGTGCCATCTTCTGGAAGTAGGAAGCACCGGTTTCGGCCGCTGAAGGTAACTTCGACTTCCAGGAGATAGCTAGCTTCCTTCCAGTACCTCTATTCTTCTTCTCCGCAAATTGGCAGAAAGAGAACTTCCCCCCTCGATGAAATGAGAACAAAATGAATAAGGAAAAAGAAACGGGTCCAACTACCCAGCCCTTCATTCTCTCCCACCAACATCACGCCAACACCGCTGATTCAGCCAGCACAGCCCGCCGCAAAGTTCATTTTGCTGCTCGCTAGTGTTTGAACCACCAAACTCCAGCATTCCCTCACGAACCACTATCCCTTAGCCCGACTTAGTGCAGCCGGTACATGTCTATTCGTCGAGAAGGCTAAATTTGCACAAAGAGCTCGTCCAAATTCTTTCGCAAAAAAAAAAAAAAAAAAAAAAAAGGTCTCGAATTTCTCGGAACTTTTGACACACACGCGTGACTCATCAGGACTCTCGCGTACGTTTAAGATTCTGTGCGTGAATTGGATCTGGATTGGCACAAACAATTGGTTCAAAATTCAAAAGTTCGATTTCCCCAACACATTGATTTCCAAAAATCAAAATCTCTTCGCTAACAAAAATTCTCGAGATGCTCTCAGCTGAAAATTCAATCGTAATAACTCGCACTGCTTATCCGCGCGATAAAAACGCTATTGGGCTCCTCTGTATCAGTCTCGCCATCCCCTTCTCATCCGTTTCTCATCCGGCACGATACGCATCATTTTACGCATTACAGAAGGTATTATAGACAGTGTTGTGCGTACCCACATGCGTGACTGAAACCTGTAGCCGTAAACCTGTCGTTCGTGTTTTTTTGCTCTGTTTATTACGCACCGCCGTTACACACTATTGAAGCCTCGTTACGACGAGGCGTGCGTGGCGTGGACGCTCTTAGAATTCAGACCGGCACAATGAACCGAGAGTGATGCAGAATATATGAGAGAATCGCGGTCTTAGAGCGTCTACCGACCGTACGACAGCAACGACCCTTTGCTCCGAGTACCGAGTTTATTATACGTTTCTAAGTCCATAGTCCCGACGTCTTACATTCCCTTACAACCCCTGTCTAATCTCATATCCATATTCGTATGGACCAAAACCACATCTTGATCGTACATATTATATATATATATAAAAATATTATATATATATACATATATATATCGCTCTTTACAGCTATGATCATATAATAGTGGCTCGCTCGTTGGATGTGTTGTCTCGTTCGTTGTCAATGTGTTTTTTATCACCTCTGTACATATTTTCTGATTATGATATAATATATGTGAGCTACATTTATCTTATTGTATTATCTAGATTTGATTCTATATTTAACAATATAATATCCCTATTTTTCAACAGTCGATTGAACCATTCTCCCACCCGCCACATTCCGTTCTCTCAGTTCAATTAGAACTATTTCCTGTATTATCCTACTTGTGAATCTCGCACAGCCATAATCGTGTTTTACTATTTGATATTACGAGGATACATGCATATACACACATACGAATACATACATTAATACACACATTCAGTGCAGATATTTCTAAACAAATTATCGCGCTAATTGATCAAAATTTGATTTGTGTAATCTGTAACTGTTACAATCATTTTAGGATAAATCTAGCTCTTGCACAAAGTCGAAAATATTTTTTAAAGCAGAAATTGCTCAAAATTTTTTGCCGGACAGTTTTAAGTACGCTGTATCCACCTTAAAAACGAAAATTGGAATGATTTTATATCAATATTGTGAAAAATTCTCAGTCGGACTCGGATATCATTAAATAAAATTATATTCATTTCATCTAACATGAAACACCTCATAATTTACCCGTTCTTCCTCATTCAACTTCTCGCGCACAACTTAGAAATAGCTGCAGAATATAACAAGTATTTATTGTTAAACTTTGTGTAGCGGTGATCCATCTCGAGAATACGTTACGTTTTCCGTCTGCTAAACAGCTAAAGTAGTTTAGCCGAATTGCTCCAACAGCCGTAAAAAAGAAATTAAAAACCTCGACACGGATCACCGTCGGGAGTGTCAGCTATAATTGGATCGCTTAACATCCTACCTATAATTTTATCGCGATACCGTTTGTCGTTCGTTTTCGGTTTTTGATATACTTATAATATCGAATGTAGATCAACATATTTATTTCAATTATTTTTCTTGTCCTTGTTACAATTTCCGTTACCGTTCCCATTCAAGTACCGTATTTTCCACTGTTACACTGTATGTTACATTGCTATCGGTTATGATAATTGTCTCGTGGTTGTTCTCGGTTTACTATTGTCGCACAGAAGACACACACATAAAACCCATACACGTACACTTGCGCGATTTCCAGTGCTATTAGATGTACACGTAATAATAACGAGTGTAACCGTGCGCGTTGAAGGTACCGTACGTGTGCACATCAGATATGTTACGTTTTTATATATATATTATATATATCTATATATCCCTATCTCCCTCCCTTTAGGATGGTGGATGCTGGTGTAACCGTGTAACTTTGTCGTTCTCGGTGTTAGCCGCAAGATCTTCTCTTTAACGCCTATAACGCTTAGCTCACACACAGAACTGACTAACGTTGTTCTTTCTTTTTTCTCTGTTCCCTCTATTTCGCAACGTGCCGTCGTCAACCCGCAGACAGAAAGCTGTTCGTTGGTATGTTAAGCAAGCAACAAACTGAAGACGATGTGCGACAGCTGTTTACTACCTTCGGTTCAATAGAGGAGTGCACCATCCTCCGTGGACCCGACGGAAGCAGCAGAGGTGAGTGCTCATTGTCAGCTGTTTACTTAATGTATTTGGTAACTGTTGCATGATTAGTAATCGTGTGTACATACAAGATACAATCCATTTTCTCTCAACCTTCTCCAAAATAAATATTTCCTCGAGAAAATAACAATTTAAGCATCATCTTCTCACTTCAATTTTACATTCCACACAGAAAATTCGTAAAAACGTATATGAGAATCGCAGATATTGCGACCAACGATTCACTGTCATAAAAAGTTCAAAGATCGCCAATAAAGGAATTTAAAAATAGCTTCAGTGCTTCTCAGTCCCTGAGGGATTAAGCACGAAAACCGTTCTCTCTAGAGAACTAAGTGTACCGTAACGTGGTGCGCGTATATTTTTATGTCGTGGGATAAAAGCATAGGCACATTGTCCATAAAAATACGGGTATCTGTGCAATTTTTAGCCGCAGGGCGGGATATTCGCGTCCCTCTTTACTGCACGATCATTTTACGTCTTTGCCGCGCGTTACCTCTTCCACTCGATTCATACAGTTTTAATCCTTAAAAAATCAGCGAACATAACCATCTGAAGCAAAAGCTTACGTAATTTCAACGCTGTTGTTTCATCTTATTAGCGTGTAAAAGTAATTAATTAATTTTATGATACACAGAATGCAATAAATGCACATTGTATTTGCCTTCTTTTAATAATTGCAACCAGAAAGTTACAGATTTATTAAAATAAAGTTTTATTCGAATTAAATAAAAAATGGAGTTTTCACAATTAAAAAAATCTTCATTTTTATTATATATAAAAGAAAACAGTGACATTTTGTTAAAGAAAAATTGGTTTTAAAATGGTCGAGAAATAAAAAGAGATGTGTAACTTGGTAAACTTGGACACTTTGTACATCATCATCTGAGAGAGCCGTGAAGCTCATAATCCGCGTCTTTGGGCATTTTCATCGAATGATGAAGCGAGCAAAGAGACTCTCCGGGGCACTTGCTTTTCAGAGGGGTGGGAACGAACGGACTCCGCGAAATTAATCACGAGATGAGGCAAAAGGGAAGGAGGGCGACTATCTCAAAGGAAAGAAGGCAATTGCCTCGACCAAGCATTACGAGAAGGAAAAAAGAGATAGAGACTCACCGCGCCCGACGATGATGCACGACCAACCAAGCCCAGGCGGAAGGATATAATCGCGACGGCATTTGAATATTCGCTCACGCTGTAAACAGCGCGGAAGGGTAGGTAGGCGGCAAAGGGTAGATGTAATTCGGGCGGGGATAACTGACGGAATGGCGGACGAAAAGTGGGCGCGGAGCTGCAGTCGGACGAAGCGCGGCGAAAGCAATAATTTCCGCTGGACGAGGCGGCGAAATTTAAATATTTTCATTCAAGAGTGAAGACCTCGCGATGCGTCTTCACTCGGAAGGTAACTAGGGGAGAGGGGGAGGGAAGTTAGTAACGAGCTACAGAGGTGATCGAAGAAAATGGGAAAGCAAGGCGGACCAGCGAAAAGGGAAAGAGAAGAAACGGGGGAGGGTGGGGGGGGAGGAAAGAGTGAGAGTAGAGAAGAGATAGGGTAAACCAAGGACCGGGAGAAATAAGGAAACGGGTAGGAAGGGAGCGGGTAGGCAGGCGCGAATGTAATTAAATTCCACTTTGAAGTGAAACTCACTTTCAGCAGTTAATAAGATTTTGATTCGCAGTCGGTGACGTAACGCAGCGCGCCCATCGTCTTTGGCAGGTAGGCGCTGCTCGCTCGCTCGCGACGACGACGACGACGACGACGGCGACGAAGGAAGCACGGGACGTCGAGGAGAAGAAGTAACGGAAGTAGTATGCGAGAGAAGAGCTTTACAATGTGCGAAGTCTGTGCTCCTTCGCTTCCAGCAAAGACCAAGCCCACCGCCCGGCCTCTCCCGTCCTACGGTTCTACCGTTGCGTCAGAGCTCCGGTTCTTTGTCGAAAGCCAGGACGATGTTGCGCCAGCTTTCCGAGCTCTTTAATTAAAATTACGCGAGCGCGCGCACCACGATGACAGTTTCCAACCGGTAGTCGGTTTATCACGTAGAATGCATTCGCGATTACTCGCCGAGAATCTCAGGTATGCCGCCCCGGCAATTACAATACCTTTGGCGAAATGAAGCACAGGACGCGAGGTCCGAACGCAATCTCAAGCTTAATCTCTGCATCGCGAAGTTGACCATCCGACGTTAGGCAAGGGTCGGTCAAGGCGACCGGTTAACCACATCTCGGTCGCATCCATTTCTCCGAATCTTCTGGAACGAGTTCTAATTCTACGAGTTTCTATTCTCAGCTAACGCTTAGTGCGCGAATCTTCCAGAGATAATTCCGCCGCAATCCCAACCACGACATTCGTCCTTGGACATTGGTATCAGAACGAAGTTACTCAGCGGGGATGGATGTGCTTGCCGTGGGAAGGGCCTGATCGCTTATTCCGCGCAACTCCACCGCGGCATATCCCACGCCCGGATCTCGTCCCGGCAGAAACTTTCCCAACACGCTTCATCACCGCTCGCCGAGCCTCGGTCGAGTTTCATAACTAGCTAATCCGACCCGTAATAGAGAGATCAGGCAGAGCTCCAACGAGCGCGGCCGTATGTATATATACACACACAGCATATATATATATACATATATATATACACATTATATATATATATCGCCATACTGCGAGTCTACGTGCTGGCACCAAAATTACAGCGGAGAGGATATCATTTCGGTAACTCTTATTCTGGCATCATCCGTCAGTAAAGCACGGGGATCAGTTACACGTCGGGAATGTAAGCGCACGCGGCCGGAATATCCTCCTATATACTTAACTCGCGCAACTTCCGTCAGCCGGTGTGATCTCCCAATGAGTTACGAGGAACGAAAGTTATCAGCGATATCCACAGTCGTCGCTCCTCGCTCTTCCATTCGCTACTCTTTCAACTTAACTTTTCTTATCGGATAATGCTACCTATCTGAAGGAAAGGTGATGGAAGATTTGTCGGTAACGAGAAGTCTAAAAAAAGATCTTCGAGTTCTTAAGGAGACACGATCGTCATCATCCCTGTTTTCGTCGTCGAAGCGACGCACTGCGTTATCCTTCCCCCGCAGCTTTCCCTCAAGCCTTACCATCGTCCCGTCATCTCCCAGGGGGAAGAGGGGAACGACGATGGAGCTCTTCGTCCAATTATTTTTCCCTCGCTTCGAAACATTTCAACGCCACTTCAACGAACGAACTCGTTCTATTCTCGTTGCCGCGCAACCCTCTCCGCTACCCTACGCCAGAACAGAACCGCGTCACTTCTTCCCCGGTTCGCTTCTATTCTCTGTCGGAGTTACGTCCCCTCCTAGCTGTGCGTACGCGATCCCAACTGGGCCACCCCTTAACGTGGAATCCGCATTATTTCAATTGCGCGAACAGCAATAATTCACCTCGCTAAGAAGATTATAAAATGTTTATGAATAATGGAACAAAGTATATATTCTGAACGAGGTCCTTCTATCACAAAACGTAGGAAGGTACGCTTGTCGAGGTATAACGCCACCCTACTATGTGGAGGCACCTACTGTGTGGTAGCAACCGAGTCACGTGTAGTTTGTGTGCGTCACGATTGCGCAACCGTGTGCCGTAAGCGCGATACGATTATTCAAACCGGGGAAACAATTCCGTGCATTAAGTCGTAATAACATTGCGCGCCGGTATTCCCGATCCTCTTTTGTCGCCAGGACTCGCAAAACGCGGTATTTGGTACTCACAGCCCCGACCGCGCTAACTATCGGGTGGCATTATGTAACATTTAGCCACCCCCCCCCGGGCACGAGAGAAGTACAATAGATCATGAGTTCGCAAGTTACTGTGCGAACAATGCAATTACGAGAAACATTATATCGTTCGCTTCAAGATCTCACCTTAAGGGATGCGGCGGATGCTAATTTACTCGGTTTTAACATCGAAATACTAACATAGCGTCTATCGCTTTGTACAAACTTGAAGCTTCTGATGTGTCGCTAGAAACATATTCGATTAGTAATCTCGCAAGAATTAAAAACGAAAGTTTTAATTGAGAGAATAACCAGCACAAGCAAATGATATTTCTGCAATTAGCAAGTGTGCTGAGTGTTCTATGTCAATATGTTCTTGCAGTCGATCCGTTAATAATGCGTGCGTTTCATGGACTACAAACGAATGTTTAGGGATTAAACACGAACGACGTGCAATCGCCTGTTTTCTCAGCACGTTGTGTCAGTACGATTTATCGTCGTGTTAATAGCTAGCGCCCTTTAAATCGTCGCCCCAGTTCGCCGATTATAGCACCACGAGGTCGGGCACTCGCATTTACTCGCGCGCGAAATCATTTCCGATCATTTTCGATGGAGCTTTCGTTTTTGACTGGTGCGAGACGTAAAGAGATTGCGATGGCCGCGTTAACGATATTGCTGACGGGAAATATGACGAATCAATAATTTCCTCAGCCTAGCATTTTATGATGGGGCATTAAACGAGCGATGGTTATCGACGATTAATCGTTCGGCTGTCACTTGCATCGGCGCGTCCACGCGCGGTATGTATCGTGCCTTAATACGCGCGGACAATTTGCGTTCTTTATCTTCGACACGCACATGGAACATACGCCTCCATTATTGCGCAAGCACGGGATATATTACTGTCGCGAGGATTATAGGAAAAATATTCTGCGCTTTACGGGTACACTCTCATTATCGCGAGGCTATAAACTTGTCCGTCCTCATTATCTCGCAGGACCGTGCAGTTATCAAGCTGTAATTCCATTAATGATTCTACTTATTACGACGCGATGCAAATTGTAGAATATAAACGTTTCTGCGCCACGCTTCCAAGATGCAATGTACACAAAACGAATATTAAGTGTATTATGAAAAAAAATGACCGGATCCGTGATAAAATCGCATATTATATTGTAATGATCGGTCATTATTTATAGTGGCGCGAATTGAGGAATATAAACGTAGTGTTTCTGCGCTACGTTTCCAAG